TTTCTCGATGCATGGCCACTTCCAGCGCCAGGAATAAAGGTTGCATGCAGCTCATTCGCAACCTTCGCTGTTGTTTCCCTCTTTCCCCCTTTCGTCCGCCCGAACGACGTACAAGGAGGTGAGGTGTGAAAATAGGAGCGTGTCTTTGGTCAGCGGAGACAGGCAGGAATGACACAGAGAGAGGGAGGGAGAAAGAAAGGCGGAGAACGAGGGATAGGTGGGGGAGAACATGAGAGAGATGCAGGGATACATATAATCTTTGGACAAGGAGGGAGAGAGAAAGAGAGAGAGAGAGAGAGATGGAGGGAGAGAGAGAGAGAGAGAGAGAGGGAGAGAGACCGACTAAGCTGGAAATGCGGCATGCAGATATGATGACGATTGTCGATCACGAGGTCTTTAGTGATATTCGGCGTTAGTTGGGGATTCTGCATTTGGTGAGTTGCCCCAGCGGCACACGAAACAACTACGATTCGGAGCCAGTCCTGAGGGTCTAGAGCGAAAGCAATGTCGGCGCCATGTCGAAAACGAGTGGTGTACCTCCCGACTCGCTCTCATGCTGGCCTTGTCGAGCTGTGTTAACGTAGCTCAAGGGGCCCACAGTGTCCATCCATCCGTGATGAGAATACATTAAAGTCGAACCCCTGTCGCCCCCCTTGCAGACTCAAGTTGTTCCCAGGCATGAAGCAGCATAGGCGTGGGAGGACAGAACCCTTGGGCGCCTCCGCGCCAGCTCCAGCGTTGGATGCGGGGCGAGGTGCGGGGCAGATAGAGACGGGGCCGACCACGAAGGGTTTACACTCAAGTCGGGCCTGTCCCGCTACAGAGAGAATATTCAGAAATTGCGCAAACAAATAGTCTGGAGAAGATTGTTTGACCATTTTCGAGTGTGTTTGGGCATGTTGAGAGTCATTTTAATTTTTCGTCCCAAATCCGCCTGTAGGGGGAAATGCCCGACCTAAGATTACACGTTGTTGTAGCTCTACTGCTGCGCTTCCCCAGCTCGCACGACATCAGCGCCGCCCGCCTTCACGGTTGTGCCCCCCCCTGGCGAAATGATGTTGTTATCGAGATCCCAGAGCGGGACGAGCCAGGTGATTTGCTCAGTGCGAGTAGTTGAGCGCAGCACGTGCGCCAGGAAGCGAGGAGCCAACCGAACTGGCTCGCATAGACGGTTCCCTTGCGTAGACGGTGCCCACTTCTGGGGTGCACACGGGGGGGTGGGGGCGCCTTCGGGCAGGCATCGGTGAAGCCACGGCCCTGCATACGCATCGCACGCAGGGGCCACACGAGGGCCAGCACGAGCAGCCGCTGCCGCCTGCTGCCCCTCTGGACGTCCCTAAGCGCGTATCCATTCATTCGATATGTCCGCTCCCCCTTCGAATGGCAAAAGACACGTGCGATGACCCTCCTGCGTCCCCAGAGCCTTGCCCGAAGGGGGGGTTCGGAGCTGGGGGGGCGGCGCGGCCTCTCAGCACGTGCAGCCTGAACCCCATCGAGAACGAGGCCGTCGTCGCTGCCGCCATCGCGCTGCACAACAAGACCAAGGACGGCCCACGTCTCGGTCACAGCCGAGGCCCATGCCCAGAGACACCCTGGGTCTCTTGGGTTTCGATGGCTCTGCAATGGGAAGCTTGACGACGCTCCCTCACCAGAAAGCAGTGGACGTCCTGGGCTCTCAGGGTTGAGTTCTTGGTGGGAGGCTTCTTGTGGTCGGGCCTCCACTGTGTGTCACGACGCCTACGGTCGGAGACGTTGAGAGGAGCACCGCTCCGGACCGCTCCTCCGGGCCAGGTCTTCGGGGCCAGGTCTCGGGGAGCCCATTCGCTATTTTCGCGGCCGAGGCGTGCCGTGGCCGGAAGAGCCCCTGCGTTGCTCGACGCCATGTATGGTGGCATCAATGCTTGTATTCGGCGGCGAGCGAGGGGGGGAAGCGAGAAGGATGAGGCCTTCTCAGAAGGCTCGGAAGTCCCCCGACCTTCTGAGGAGTCCTCGAAGCCTTCCCCGAAGACAGAAACAACTTCTCGGAAGGCGCGAGGGCTTCAGGGAAGTCCCGCCGCCCTTTGTCCGAGGAGACCTTCGCCTTCTCACTTCCCCCCCTCGCTCGCCGCCAGTGTTTGTCACAGCGCTCACCCGCCAACGAGAGAGGGCAGTCCACGGGGCTGCGGCACCTTGGGGGGCGGTCGCCCCGTGTTGCACGTGCAGACCTGCAGGGGCTGTGGCCGCTGGGCATGGGGCCCCCCGTGTTTCAAGCAGTGGCGAAGCGTCCTGTTTCGCCTATAGCCCCGCCAAACAATGTTCTAAGAACCTTTTGTGGTTTCCACGAAATGTTCTTAGAACATTTCTGGCGGAGTCTGTTTTGTTTTGTCGCCTCGGGGTTGTGCCCTAAGAACATTGTTCTTGTTTTTGGAACATTTTGGGTTCTAAGAACATATCGTGGTAGGACTATAGGAATGCCGGGACGGTCGGCCCCGGCGGGCCAACCCGAGCCCCCCGTACCCGAGACTTACGTCTCCCCGAGTCCACCCTCCCCGCGGCCGCCCGCTCCTCCTCCCGCCCCTCCTCTTGCATGATGGCCAATTCGCTACAACAGTGCTCCCGTTCAGTCATCTTCTTCCGCCAGCGCAGACGGACCTTGCCTAGCCGCCGACGCAAACAAAAAACTATATTTCCACTCCCCGGACCCACGGGAATGATGTATACCGATGCCGCTGCCCTTCCCTCGTCGGTGCAGCTAGATTCGCCTCGTAGTCGTGGACAGAGAGCAAGGTTGGGAGGGGTTCCTTTCCGTGGCATGTGTGTTCGGGCTCTCTATTGCACCGCCTGTATCCAAGGCTATGCCTCCTCTCGGCCTCGCTCTGAGGCTCCGCCGCTTCCTCCCTCCTCTTCTCTGCCTAATTCAAGTTTCGCGCGGCCCGCTTAGCTTCGACCGGAAGAGGTGCGCTCTCGACCCGCGGATCAAAAAGTGTTCGGGCTCTCCACATTGGAGTGATGTTCTCTCTGGGCATCTCCGTGGCGCCTTGGGCCCTTGGCGAAGGGGGTCGTGCGTTCTCTCCAGAGCTCTTCTGGCCATGGCTCGACTTCAAGGGAGGAGATTTGCACGGATTGGGTCTGTCTGCCTTCCTAGTCGTTTTCCAGCGCATCGGGGCCCTGGGATTAGGAGCGTCTCGTCAGCATTTCTTGTGAGGGTTGTTTGTTGAGGGTTTACCCACTTCTTTGGTGTGTTCTTTCGCGCGGAAGGGAGGGGAGTCGGCGAACGATGCGTCATAGTACGAATGCGGGATTACGTGTGTTTGCGAGCAGCCCACAAAGTTTCTATTGGTCAAGCGAGTTCTGCAATCGTGACGCGGCACTGGACACCCACGCATCAGAGCCCCCTTGCTGCATCATCAGCCAGGCTCTTCTATGTGGCATCTTGCTTGGAGCGACCGCGAAGATACAAATACTGCGATGGGACGAAGGCTCAATGATGGTTCTGCTGGGACGTAGGTTTAGACGAGCAACGGGAAGGCAAATGCATACAGCGCGACATATGTCGTAGTTGCAGTGACGAGCACAAATGCTAACAATTGTGTTCGGACGTATTCCGTGTCAACTACATCTGACTTGACAGATTGATACCAAGGAGCGGAAGTTAGATGCCGCATGTGTGCCTCCTTTGTGTTACCTCCTCGTAGTCATTTGTCCCTTTGCCCTGCTCGTGCGGGGGATGTGACCTCCCCTCACGCCAGCAAAGGTCTGCACAGCTCCCGTGCGGGAAACTGGTAGGCTTTCGTGGTTTAGCCTTGGTGGCCTGGCGTGGGGCTTTTGGGCTTCGGCTTCGTTGGGGGTGACTTTCTCTTGCCTGGTGCGGGGGTTGTTGCCCCCCCCTCTCTCCTGTCGCAGGCTGAGAGTTTGACACCAACACCAGTATCGGCGGTGTGCCCCTCCACCGAGGGCAGACGATCCCGATCTCGGCGATGGTGGTAGTATTCTGGCTTCCAAGGTGATCGAAATATTGCCACCAGCACCAAAATCTGGGATCATCTTCCCAGGTGGAGGCACCCCCCTGAGTTGGTGTTGGTGCCCACTTCCAGGCCTCCAGTCCTGCCGCCTGCGTGCGGGGGGCCGTCGAACGGCCGGAGAAAATCAGCCGCACGTTGCGCACCCTCGGGCCGTCCGCGCCTCGCTCGGAGGGCCTCCGAGCCATCGGCTCGGGGCGGGGGGGGGAGGACGGCTGCCCCCTCCTCCAGCTCCTCATCCTGGCGCCAGCCTCCTTCCCTTCTGCTCCCCCCCCCCCCCCCAGAGCCCCCCCGCGCTTGCGCGCCACGCGTGGCTTCGCCCCCCCCCACCCCCCTCAGCCTCCTCGTGCTCCTCCCGCTCCCGGCCCCGCTCTTGCGCCCTGCGCGTCTCCTCTCCTCCTCCGCCTCGTCCGCGCGTGCTGCTCCCGTGAGCCTGCTGCCGTGAGCCTGCTCCTCCCCTCGCAGGCGGGCACCTGAGCCTGCTGCGCCGCTCGCCCCCCCTGACCCGGTGACGGTCCGACGCGTTGATTCTGTTGCTTCAAGTCCGCTGGCTGCGCAGGGCCCGCCCACCCACCCCCATTTTTAGCCTCGACCACCAAAGACATAATTTCGAGCACCGAGAAAGTACCGAAACCGGAGGGTTTCCACGTGTCGGGCCCTGAGAGGCATACTCGTTCGACACTGTTTCGATACTTTTCTGGGTGCTCGAAATTCTTTATGGGATGTGGTGCTGAAGTAAGACGGGAGCCACATAATCCGTGTCCTGGATCTACTTCTGATGGCCCCGTGGCCACTAAAGGGTCTCACGAGACAGGAAGTCATCCTTTTTGACGGCGCGTCTTCCAGAACGACCTGCCTGTGAGGCACGGGTGAGCCGATCGGGATTCGGACTCGGTGGCCGATGGCCCGTGTGTGCTTCCCGTGTGGTCTCCCGTCTGGTCTACATGCTGGTCTCCTGTCTGCCGTATGTTCACCCGCATGGTCTCCCGCATGCGCAGTGCAGTATAGTGTTTCCTGCACTATGGGGAGGAGCAGGAGGAGGAAGAGGAGGAGGAGGAGGTGGAGTCGTTCTCCAGAGCTCCCCATGCAACTTGGCACGAACTGCAGCGCAACACCAGCAGCAGGAGGCGAGACTGGCAAAAGGGTCGAGCACATCGGAAGCGCACTTAGCAGCACAGAAGTTCGCTCAGCAGGAACACGACTCCCATGCGTGTTGGCAGGCTGCGCTTGCTGGTCGCGAGCCCGGACGCCATGGCCTCCACCGCGCCCTCCTGCCCCGCAGCCTCTCCGGCCCCCGGCCCCGGGCTCCGCGGCGCAAAAGCGCGCGAGAAGGCCGGCCACGCGCAGGAGGGACCCTTCGCCAGAGTGCGGCGTTCGGGGTGCGCTGGAGGTCCGAACCCGAGCGCGCGGGCTGCTGCCGTCGCGTCGCGAGCAAGGATCAGCCAAAGTCGCGCCCAAGATCACTCTTGCCCTCGGTTTCCCTTGGATGCTCTACAGACATCACCACTCTCCCCTCGTTTCGGCATGCCCCGCACCGCCGTGCCCACACCGACCATGCTCACAGCGACCTCTCTAGACTCGTTGAGGCGTGCTCCAAAGGCATGAGCATGTGGAAAGCAGGCGCACGCTCCCCATGCGCGCCCCCGCGACCCCGCACGCCCGCGTCGCGCACGCAGGCCCCAGCTGGCCCCCCCAGAGCCCTGCAGGAATCAAGCCCAGAGGTGCGACGTGTCGACGTTCCCCATGCGCGGCCCCCGGACGCTTGTCAGGAGGGGAAGAAACACACAGACACAATTAATTTGCGATTTCCCAGAAAATATGGGAAAATATGGGAAGTGGGGGGGAAGACAGAAACCCAGAAAATATGGACAAATATGGAGAATATTTTTATTTGTGTGTATTTATTTGTGTGTCCTGGGGCTCCTTCAGCTTGGGCCCTCTCCCCAGCGACGGCTCCTCACCCCGAGCCGCCTCTTGACGGCCCCGCCGCCCGGAGACCGAGGGCCCCCACGGAGGCCGAGAGCGGCCACACGCTCTAGACGTCAGCGACGAGGCGGGAGTGCTGCTCCAGCGGGCGGCGATCGGGGCGACAGATACGCGAATTGTCAAGGGAGGGAAAACTGCCCAGACCCCGACAATTTGCGTTTACTGAACGGCCCTGGGCGTTTACTAAACAGTCCTGCCCTCTTCGATTCCTTCCCTGGGTGCGTCTCCCAAACGGCGTCGCTTGTCGGGATGCTTCTCATGGGGGGGGATCTTACTGCCCTCGAAATTGCGAGAGCGGCCAAACGCCTCCGGCCCTGAGCCCTGCCGCGACGCGAGCACGGCGCGCTCCTGGGGGAAGGGAGCCCACGTGCTCCTCCTCCTCCTCCTCCTCCTCCTCCTCCTCCTCCTCCTCCTCCTCCTCCTCCTCCTCCTCCTCCTCCTCCTCCTCCTCCTCCTCCCCCCTTCCTGCTCAGGGCCACCCCTGCGCAGAGCCGAGCGTGGCGCGGCGCCCCCCCCCTCGACCACAGCGGCACCGAGAGAGCCCGCTATGCGCCGCGCGCCCTGCGCGGCCGCGCTGCGCTCGCTGCGCCGCGGCGCCGCGCGCCGCGGCGGGGATGCTGGCGAGCGGCACCGTGCCAGCGCGGGCCGCCGGGGCGCCCGGCGCCCCCGCGGGAGGCGCGGCGGCTCCCGCGCGGGGCCGGGGCGAGGGCGAGGAGGAGGAGGACGAGGAGCGGCTCCGCCTCCTCTCCCCCTCCTCCTCCTCCCTCCTCCTCCTCCTCCTCCTCCTCCTCCTCCTCCTCCTTCCCCGTCCTCCTCCTCCTCCTCCTCCTCCTCCTCCTCCTCCTCTTCCTTTTCCTTTCGCTCTTCCTCTTTCTTTCGCTCGTCCTCTCCCTCCTCCTTCTGCCGTCCTCCTCCTCGGCCCTCTCCTCCTCCTCCTCTTCTTCCTTTTTCTTTTTTTGTTCTCCTCTTCCTCTTCCTTCCGCAGTCCTCATGCTCCTCCTCCTCCTCCTCCTCCTGCTCCTCCTCCGCCTCCTGGCGCAGGCTTCCAACGCACTTTACAGTCGTCTTGCTACTTCCATAAGAAGCGGTTCTGGCCACCTCTGGCCTCGGCCACGGACCGGTTCTATGGCCCAGCTCGGGTGGGCGGCCCAATGATCAGAGCCCTTCCCTGAGCCCGAGGTGGTCATTTCTTTGAGCATTTTGGTTGTGCCAGCCTGCAAGATGTTCCTATTCCTATCATTCGCATCATCTTATCTCGAGCCCGCCGATCCTGAGGATTCCCTTCATTTTGGATGGCGCATCCCCAAAGCTATCATCGCATTTGGGCCTATCAATCTCAGGGATAGGGATAAGGCCGAGGCTGGTTGTCATTGGACACATCAGGAGCAGGGGTTTCGTTGGTGTCGGCATCCGTGGGCTCTCGCCGGGCCCCGGGACCATCGAAGCATTATTGCGGCTAGTGAAATACCGGCCCTTGTAGGATCGTGATTTCAAGGACCGCGTATTAAAACCGGGGGCGGCAAAGAGGGGGGTGAGGAGTTCCGGGGGGGATATCATGGCGGGGGCCATGATATCTCCCCAGATGTCATGGCGCTTCTTAGTATTTTTGATACGTCCCCGACCCTCATTTGGGCTGCGCACATGCCGCCGGCCATGATTTGCGCCCCCTCCCTCTTGGACACCCTCTCATGACCGCCCCCGATGAAACCAAACCATTAGGACGTCGCATGTCTGGATGCAGGCCTCGCACATGGGGTTCGAGTGGACGGGGTCGGGGGATCGCGCCGCATCGCCGCTGCATCGGCGATGCGGCTCGATGTGAAGCCCCACTTTCTCAAGGCCGACGTCGCCGCTGCATCGGCGACGCGGCGCGATCCTCCAGCCCTATCCGCTTACACCCCATGTTTTGAAACCGCCTCCACTGGACCAGACCAGTCCTGGGCCCGGGACCGGTGTACATCGGGTGCGGCCAAGAGTGGGGATGACAATGGGGGGGATGTCATGGCCGCGGCGGTGATAACTCCCCAGGTTTCAGGGAGCTCTCTCGACTTATTTCGATACGCTCCATTCGACTACACGTAAGGGTGACCTTCCATTGGAGTGTCCTTTGGTGCGGGCCCAATGGGGTCCCCCAACCGCCGAACGCGATGCGGCCGTAGCGTTCTGTGCGCTCATGTTTGGTCACACCTCGGTCTCCCAATAAGCCGCGCACCAAAGGTCACTCTTACCCAGAGCCGCTCTTGCGTGTAGTCGGTCCATCGCATCCTCCTCGTCCGCGCACGTGCCTCGAGCCATGCTTTGCAAACTTCCCTCTTGGGCGCCTCCCTTTTGGACGCCCCCGAGTGCACGCCTCGTTGGCCAAGACAGGAGCGCGTCATTCACATACACATGCACGCACCGATCCTGTGCCCGGATCGGCGGCACGGGTCTTGTCGAGATCGGTGCGGCTGAATAGTGGCACCCTCCTGGAGGACGCCTTCTACCAGCGGCACAGGCCCACGCTGCTGCGCGAGCTGTGTGGCGCAGACGCCGCGGAGCGCCTCCGGTGCCGGTCCGAGGGCGGCGTCGGGCTCCTGAACCAGGGCGCGACCTGCTACGCAAACTCGCTGCTCCAGGCGCTCTTCTACATCCCCGAGTTCAGACTCGCCGTGTACAGGCGCCCCCCAGGGAGCAAGCGGGCCCCGAGGGGAAAGGGTCCCGGGGACGTGTTCGCCGCTATTCGGGGGGGGGGGGGGGCCCTTGGGGGCCCTCCACACGGGCCCCTGGGCGGTCAAGGCAGAAGAAGGCCCTCGTTCTGGCCAGGGAGAAGGCCCTCATTCTGGGGGAAGGCCCCCGTTCAAAGTGACAAGGTGGTCCAGGGGGGAGGCCCTCGTTCTGGCCAAGCAGGTGGCGGCCGGAGCACGACGAGAAGGGAGGCAGCAGAGGTGGCTCGGGGGCAGGCTCGGCGCCCTCTGCGGCGAGCAGCCAGGACCGAAAGCCGTCCCGTGCGATCGCGGTGCAGCTGCAGCGCATGTTCGCTCAGATGCAGCTCTCCTCGACCAGGGCCATCTCCACTCTGCCGTTCACCACGGCCTGCGACTTCACGGGCTACGGTGCCCGGGTCCAGCAGGACGTCCAGGAGTATTGCCGCGTGCTATTTTCCGCGCTCGAGGAGGCGGCCCCGTCCCTTTTCGCTGACGCGGAGAAGATCTTGGCCGGGCGCGCGAGGAGCTACGTCCGCTGCTGCGAGGCTGGCTTCGCCCCTGGGGAGGCGCCGGAGTCGTGCCGCGAGGAGAAGTTCTTGGACCTGCAGGTGCCCATCCAGGACTGCAGCTCTCTGGAGGAGGCGCTGCAGAAGCTGTCACAGCCGGAGACGCTGAGCGGCGAGAACCGCTGGCTCTGCGAGGACCTGGGCAGGAAGGTTGACGCCGTGAAGGGCGTGGAGTTCCTGCATCTGCCCAGCACCCTCTGCATACAGCTGATGCGGTTCGCCTTCGACCCCCTGGAGATGCGGGAGAGCAAGGTCACCAGCAAGCTCAGGATACCCTTCTGGATCGACCTCAGCTTCCTGAGGGCCGACGCAGCGGGTGGACCTTTGGAGTACGAGTTGGCTGCCGTATCCCGATGCGCTTCTGCGCATGTCCGCCATGCCGAGGCGAGGGCGCATCCATAACCACCGCTTGGGGGCTAGATATCCAGGGACCTCCGCGGGATAGGAAATGGATAGATTCAGACCCCTTGGGGGGTCAATATATCCATATCCACCGCCTGGTCATGTCCCCGACGATCGATACCCTCGCAGCCGCTGCGGTGTGGGAAGCTGTGCCGCAATGTTGCAGCGGGACACGGCCGTGCCGCTGCAGGACCGTCCCAGTGCTTCTCGGGTTCTCTGGGCGGGGTGGGGGGCTGCACGTCGGACCTCTCAGGTCCCCCTTAAGCTGTCTCGGGAGCCATCGCGGGCTAGTCGTGGCCCACGGGGGCCGTGCTCGGCAGCTTTGGGGCCAGTCCACGGGGCCCTTCAGCCATCCTCTGGCCGTCCGAGCCCTCGTTGGCCGTCGGGGCGCCCGCCTGAAGCGGCCCGAACGCCGTGCGGAGGCCGTCTCGAAGCCACCGTGTGCCCTCCAGGGTGGCATACGAAGAAAGATTCAACATCCACATTGCTCCCATCTCCAGCCGGCCTCCTGGAAGGCTCCTTGGGAGCTGGCGCGGTCTGGGCGCCGTCCTTGGGGAAAGGTGGGTCCTGTCTGAGGTCGGTCGTTGGCCAGTCTTTTGGTCGTGGGGTCGGGGGTCGGGGAGCATCCCGGGTCTGCAGCTCTTCTCGGCGTCCCGCCTGGGGCTTTGGCAAGCGAGCCATTCTGCTTGAGCAACGCCCGGGAAGGTGAGATCCACTGCTAAAGTTTGGAGCACATTGAAGTCCAGGTCGTGGGTGTGCCCTCATTGTTGCTCTTTAAACTTCGTGGGCCCTGTACCACACTCCCGGCGATGCAAGCGCAGTGGCGGATGCAACCACAAAGGCGGCACGGACGACGGCCATTACCAGGCATTCGTGCGCGAGTGGGGCTCTTTTTCGGGCACGGACTGCGGGACAGGAGCTATGTACGCACAGTGGCGCCACCTCAACGACGCCCAGACTGCCCTTGTGAGCACGCGGGGGATGACAGGTAACAACATCTCGGACGTACCGACGGAGGTGTGGGATGCTGGAGGTGCCGACTCGTCCGGCTTCGCTTCCGACGATGCGTATTTTTTGATATACCGACAGGTCGGTGTCGGGCAGGAGTTCCCCGTGATCTCAGATGAGGAGGTACCCCAGCCGCACCGTTCGGAGATCGAGGAGGAAAACGTCAAGCTGGCTCTGCTGAGGCGGATGTGCGCAATCCGCAAAAAGTTTATAGAGGTGAAGATATACACGCCCACAGGGGCGAGCCTATTGTTCCAGCAGCGCATCTCTCAGCAGTTTCGATCCCTGATGGACAGGCGCACCCAGATGTCAGAGAAAGCGCAGCCCAGCGCCTGCCCAGGCGGCTGCGGTTTCGAGATCACGTGGCACTCCACGCACTGCTGCGCTCTCTGCCGCGACAGCGGCGGCCGTTCGCATGGGCCGAAGTGTGACAAGAAGTCGTCCGAGGAGAAGGTGGACCAGGCGGGTGCCGTGCCGTGCGCGAACGGCTGCGGCTTCATCCGGACCTGGCACGAGACCCACTGCTGCGACGCGTGCAGCGTGAGCGACGGCACGACGCACGGCGCCAGGTGCTTGCAGGCGAAAACCCACCCACCCCACCCCCACTCCCGACTTCCCCCGCCGAATCGGCGATCCAGGGGGTCGGGACTGGGGTGAAGTCGGGCATGTCCCTGTACATGGGGGAAGATTTAAGCATGCAAAAAATAGTCTGGAGACGATTTTCTTTACCATGTTTGAGCATGTGTGCTGACTATGCTTCACTTTTCCTTTCCAAATCCGCCTGTAGGAGGACATGCCCGACCCAAGCCTGGGGGCTTTCTGGATAATCGTGGACCCCGACAGAACCCCCCCCCACGGACCACCAATTCTTTTGGCGATCGGCATTTGGATCACCAGACTTGACTGCTCATGTGTTTATTGTGTTCTCGGATTTGTCGACGCTCGCAGACGTTCCAGCACGTGGGAAGCCTGTGACCCACGGAGTATTGTGCACACCAAGACAGTTCAGAGCACCCTTGCGAAACCAGAGTTGGCAGATGGAATTGGTGGAGGAGAAAGTAAATATCCCAGTGCGACCCTACCTAGGAGTTGGAGCCTCTAGGAAAGCAACATTAGTAGGAGCGGTAAGCGCCGTCCTCCTCCTTCTCCTCATCGGCGTAGTTGTAGCATTCGCGGTAGTAGTAGTAGTAGTAGTAGTAGTAGTAGTAGCAGTAGTAGTAGTAGTAGAAGTAGTAGAAGTAGTAGAAGTAGTAGTAGTAGAAGTAGTAGTAGTAGTAGTAGTAGTAGTCGTAGTAGTAGTAGTAGTAGTAGTAGTAGTAGTAGTAGTAGTAGTAGTAGTAGTAGTAGTAGTAGTAGTAGTAGTAGTAGTAGTAGTAGTAGTAGTAGTAGTAGTAGTAGTAGTAGTAGTAGTAGTAGTAGTAGTAGTAGTAGTAGTAGTAGTAGTAGTAGTAGTAGTAGTAGTAGTAGTAGTAGTAGTAGTAGTAGTAGTAGTAGTAGTAGTAGTAGTAGTAGTAGTAGTAGTAGTAGTAGTAGTAGTAGTAGTAGTAGTAGTAGTAGTAGTAGTAGTAGTAGTAGTAGCAGTAGTAGTAGTAGTAGTAGTAGTAGTAGTAGTAGTAGTAGTAGTAGTAGTAGTAGTAGTAGTAGTAGTAGTAGTCGTCGTCGTCGTCGTAGTAGTAGTAGTAGTAGTCGTAGTCGTAGTAGTAGTAGTAGTAATAGTATTCGTAGTAGTAGTAGTAGTAGTAGTAGTTGTTGTTGTTGTTGTTGTGGCAGTAGTAGTAATAGTAGTAGTAATAGTAGTAGAAGTAGAAGGAGTAGTAGTAATAGTAGTAGTAGTAGTAGTCGTAGTAGTAGCAGTAGTAGTAGTAGTAGTAGTAGTCGTCGTAATAGGAGTAGTCGTAAAAGTATTAGTAGTAGTAGAAGCAGTAGTAGTAGTAGTAGTAGTAGTAGTAGTAGTAGTAGTAGTAGTAGTAGTAGTAGTAGTAGTAGTAGTAGTAGTGCCAGAACCGCCGACGCCACGCCGTAAGTGAAGCAGCAGCAGAAGCAGGCAGCAAGTCGCGCAGGCAGCATCAAAAGCAAGCAGGCACGGAGATGACGGCGGGTCGCTGGGGAGTTCTTTACATCTACATCTATATCCACACCTACATCTACATCGACACCTACATCTACATCTAGACGCACATCTACATCTACACCTAAAGCTACATCTACATCTACACCTGCATCTACATCTACATCTACATCAACAGCGAGACTCACATCTACATCTACTGTGCTGCGCTCTGCTCTGCTCGGGTATGCTATGCTGTGCTATGCTATGCTGTGCTGTGCTATGCTATGCTATGCTGCGCAATGCTATGCTGGGCTAGGCTATGCTATGCTACGCTATGCTGCGCTATGCTGCTCTATGCGATGTGTTTGCTATGCTTTTGTTTTTGCCTTCGCTTTTGCCTTTGCTTTTGCTTTTGCTTGGCACCCAGGGAGCGCAACTGGGGGACTTGCGCGTTTGCTTTTACCTTTGCTGTTGCTTTTGCTTGGCTCCCAGGGGACTGGGGGAACCGCCCGGGGCGGTTTGCACTGCCCGGCCTCTTTAAGCCAAGCGAGTAAGAACCCTTCTTGGCAGAGCCTAGGTAGGGAACAAGAAGAGGAAGCGAGAATTATGTCGGGCGTGTCCCCTGTTCTTTGTATGTTTTTTTTATGTTTCGTCGAAAATCCCACTGTAGGGGGACAGGCCCGACTTAAGCGAGAACCCCCCCCCTACGCCCAGCCCCGACCCCACGGGCAAGACTCTTCGCCCTCCCACGGTGCCAGCGCCTCCCCCTCACCGACGCGCACGAGCCGTGCCGCGGGAGTTGCGGCTACGCCCGGACCTGGCACGCGACCCACTGCTGCGCGGCCTGCAAGGCTCGAGCAGGAGATCGAACTCAGGATCGATGTACTCGGGGGTGGACAGACCTCCTACCCTGACACGTCGATTAAGGAATTTGCCGTTTTCGGTTCGCGAGAGGGCGTCGCGGCCGTCATGTTGCGGGTCCAGGTCCGTCGGTTTCGGTCCCAGGCCGTTTTCTTTTTAGAGGAGGTCTACTAAAGGGAGGTTTGTCCACCGCCGATTTACCCCTAAATTGATTTGTTCGTCGAATCGCCGAAGGAAGGCGCGGCAGTCCACGAACGTTTTTCGTGCTCCTCCTTTCTGGATGCGACGAACCATCAATTTCGGGGTGAATCAATGCCGTAGTTGATCCCCGATTCGAAAGGCGTCTGGCGGCAAGGAGCACGGCCAGAAGTGCGAGCAGCGCTGGTACCTGCCGGAGCTCATCCCCGGGGGGCGTCACCCGACCGCCTGACCGATCCTGGCGCCAGGCCGATGCTGTCCCTGGGATCGATGCCTCGGCCTCCCTGGCCAGGCCAGGTGGAGGCCTCCCAGATGGGAGCTGAGGATCGTGCTGCATTGTCGATGCATCCCCACTGCATCGGTGACGTCGGCGATGCATCGGCGACGTCGGCGTGGAGAAATTTGGGCTCCTCATCGAGCCGCATCGGCGATGCGGCGCGATCCTCCGACCCCACCTGCTCGGACCACCTATCTGGGAGTCCTAGGCCAGAAGAGCCTACATAGATGCACCGATCCTTCGAGTGGAGGATCGACTGCAGAACTGATTTACCCCAAAAGCAGGCTTCTCGCCGGACCTGCAGAAAAAGATCTCTATAGAATCCCCCGCAGCCTCACGGAAGGTCGATGGGGAAAGTCAATTCGATGGGGCAATTCAATTCTGTACAGTGGAGGCCCATGCCAAGAAACACCCTGCTTGCCTCCAGGGTGCCCTGGGTTTCTTCGGTTTCAGCGGTTTTGCTATGGAACGCGTGACGGTCCCTCTCAAAAATCAATGGGCGTCCTGGGGTTTCAGGGGTGGGTTTCTTTTGGAAGGTTTCTTGTGGTCGGGTCTCCACAGTAGTCGAGCACCTGCTCGAGCCCCTGGGCCCGCGAGATGGCGCTGCCCGGGGCCCCGGCCCGGGCCGGTGAGGCGGCCCGCCGACGGCCGCCCCGGTGCGTCGAGGGCGCCGCGGAGCTCGCGGACGAGACCCTCTGCCAGCCTGGAACACATCCCTATCTCCCTGTGCTGGGCCTCCCCTCAACACGAGGCCCGTCTTGGGGGCTCCCTGCTTTTTTGGAGGGCGCGTCCCTGAGATTGTCATCGCTTCTTCGCGTGCCAGTCTTGCAGTGAGCGGCTTGAATAAGGAACACTTCCTTTTCAAAAGGGGCTCGGTCGTTCCTTAGACTTGCACGCGTTATTCATCATTCCTTAATGCGTTATTTGTTATATATCGTTCCTTCTGCCGTTACTCCTTGGAAAAATAAGGGGCTTCGTTCCTTATTTATCGTTCCTTAGGTCAGGCCGATGACTGTAGGGATAGGGACAAGTTCGGGGCTGGTAGACCCTGCACGCGCGCGTGCGCGTGGCCGAGCGGGCGCCCCTGGCGGAGGTCTTCGACCGGGCGGTGGAGGCCTTCGCGGCGCAGGCCTCAGTCGGGGGCGTCCCCCTGCAGGGGGATTTGTTCGACGAGCCCAGAAAAGCGTACAGTTGGGGCGCTGAAGAAGGAACCTTTTCCGTTGGGGAGTGGCTCGGTGTTTCTTGATTGTTTTGCAGTTTGCCTTGGGGTTTCCGACGGTTTTCCATGTGAAACCGAAGTTTAACTTACGGGACAAAGGGGCCTCGTTCCTTATTTTGGGTTCCTTAGGTCAACGCCCCGACTGTACCCCAAAGATGCCCCCCAAAGGGTCAAGAGATGCTCAACAAACTAGTCCCCGGACAAGAAGCCCAGGGAAACAAAACGTGACACAGACAAAAAACTCGGAGGTCCGCGCGGATTTCTCGGATCGGCGTTGGGGATCCCCGGCGGCGCCTCCGGCGCCGCCCCCGATCCGATAAATCCGCGCGGACCTCCGAGTTTTATGTCTATGTCATTTGTCGTTCCCCTAAAGTCGGGCGTGTCTCCCTACAGGGGGAGCTTCGACGAACAAAAAACACGTACCCCGAAGATGCCCCAAAATGGTCAAAAGATGCTCCAAAAACAAGTCCCCAGCTATGTTTGGAGTGTGTGTCGTTCATTTTTGGGGTCTGTTTTTATGTTCCGTCGAACATCCCCCTGTAGGGGAACCGGCCCGACTGAAGCGCAGGCCGAGCGGGCCGGGCACCGCGAGGACTGGTCCTGGGCCTCCGGGCTGGCGAACTCGGACGGCTGCGGCTCCTGGGTCAGGCGGGGGCCCGCCGCGAGCCGAGCCGTGCGCGTCGATGGCCGGGCAGCGGCGGAGCTCGGCGGCGGGCGAGAGGGAGGAGGAGGAGGAGGAGGAGGAGGAGGCGGGGGAGGAGGCGGAGGAGGAGGAGGAGGAGGAGGCGGAGGAGGAGGAGGAGGAGAAGGAGGAGGAGGAGGAGGAGGAGGCGAACGAGGAGGAGGAGGCGGAGGAGGAGGCGGAGGAGGAGGAGGAGGAGGAGGCGGAGGAGGAGGAGGAGGAGGAGAAGGCGGAGGAGGAGGAGGAGGAGGAGGAGAAGGAGGAGGAGGAGGAGGAGGAGGCGAAGGAGGAGGCGGAGGAGGAGGAGGAGGAGGAGGCGGAGGAGGAGGCGGAGGAGGAGGAGGAGGAGAGAGGGGGCCCTCTCAGAGGGCGGCGGGGCTGCTCTCGGAAGCCCTCGTGCCTTCTGAGGGGTGCTCTCTGGGTCTTCGGCGAGGGCGCAGGAAGCTTCTCAGAAGGCCAGGGGACTCCTCGAGCCTTCTGAGGAGGCCCGCCCCTTCTCGTTTCCCCCCCACGGATTCGCCGCCGAACTTCGATCCGATCGGTCCGCGTCGATATCCAAGCAGGGGCGAAGCGTCCCGACTCGCCTACATGGGCCCACCACCTACTGTTCTATGTGGACCTTGTGCGGTTTGCACGAGGTGTCTTTGGCTCATGTCTGGCGTGGACGGTCTTTCTGTTTGTCTTTTCGTTCATCAGTCGGCTCTGAGTTCGAACAACATCGGCTTCGTGATTCGAGCATGTGTTGCTTCGTGGTAGGCCTGTTGGAATGCCAGGACGGCCGGCCCCTGCTCAAGATATCGGTTGGGCCTAGCCCGCTCCGAGCCCGTTCCGATCACTGATCCGACGGTCCGGTGCGTCCCCATGCCTTCGTGGCGCCGTCGGGTGCCTCCCGGCTGCGGCCGCTCCGGCTCGGTTCCGACGCCGTGTCGATGCTGCCCGCTCCGACGCGCGCTTGGACCCAAGACGATTTTCAGGCTCGGTGGTGACGTCGGAAAGTGGACCACAATACGCGGGGCGTTCCAAGGAGGTCCTTGCCCTCGAGGGTCGAAAGAGTCGTCGTCTCTTCCTCGGCGCAAAGCGGCGGAAGGTCTGCGGAAGTAAAACGAGGCCGCCTCCACCGGCAGAAGCCGGCGGAAGCTCGGCGGAAGGCGGCGGAAGTAAGATATGTGTTCCCAAGAGATGAACACGTTTTTGGGTTCAGAGTTTCCGAAATCGCCCACATGACCAGTGGCGGGCTGTTTTTCAATCCGGGGACTGTTTCAAGGGTCGGGAGCGACGTCGGAGTGGTGCGGGCGGTGCATACGTTTTGGTTCCCGCTTCCAGGCGCAACACGAAGCATGCATACACCAGGATCCCGAAATACACCAGGAGCCGCTTTTTGTGCGAAGGTCAGCTCAGGGCCGGACAGCGCGTCGGTGCATGGAGTTCGGTCGCCTGTGATGGATTCGTGTCATGATGGGCTTGTTTTCCACCACCACCACCATAAGTTGGAGGGGGGAAGGAAGTGGAGGACAAGGAGGAGGAGGAGGAGGAGGAGGAAGTGGAGGAGGAGGAGGTGGAGGAGGTGGAGGAGGAGGAGGAGGAGGCGGAGGAGGACCCCCTCCCCCTCCAACTTATGGTGGTGGTGATGGTGGAAGACAGGCCCATCATGTCAGGCTGCGGAGGTTCGACGCCGTTGCCGGGGAGGTGGGCCCGCCCTTCGATGAGCGGGCGCTGGCGGCGCCCGCGGGCGACGTGTTCGGCCGCTCGGAGGGCATGGTGCGGGCCGCCGCCCTGCTCGAGGTCCTGGGCGAGGACCACCGTGCCTCGCAGAGGGGGCGCGAGCAGATCCCCCCTCCAAAACAAAACAAGTGATGGGCGTGTTTTTCACCACCACCACCATAAGTTGGAGGGGGGGGGTCCTCCTCCTCCTCCTCCTCCTCCTCCTCCTCCTCCTCCTCCTCCTCCTCTTCCTCATCCTCCTCCTTCCCCCCTCCAACTTATGGTGGTGGCGGAACTCAGTGTCATCAACAAGGGGGCGCGAGCAGATGGGGTCGGAGGATCGCGCCACGTCGCCAGTGCTCTGGCGATGCGAGTCGATGTGGAACCCGATTTCTCCGCACCGACGGCGCCGACGCACCGCCGACGCACCGCCGACGCGCCGCCGACGCACCGCCGGCGCATCGCCGAGACGCAGCGGCGATGCAGCGGCGATGCTCCAGCCCGTGTGCTCGGATACCACAACTTGGGAGGCCTCCGAGGACACGCCCAGCCTCGGTGGCTGGGGCGAGGACCGCTGCAGCATCACGGTCTGCCGCTGGGACCCGCTGGCCGGGTGCATCAGCCTCCGGCCAGGCGACATCCAGGTGGGCGGCGCACAAAAAGGCGTCCCAAGAGGGGGGAGCATCCCCGAGAATGGCCGTCATCGCGAGGCGCGAAAACCATGTGCTCCTGCTCTCTCGGGGGCTTCTGGGGCGGCTCCTCGCCGCCAGGGCCGGACGCGGCGGGGCCGGGGGAGGGGTCGGGATGGTGTGCGGGGTGCCTTGAGATCTTGGCGTCGTTCCGCACCGGTCGGTTTCGCCGTGTGAGCGACCGCGCCGACATTAGCGCGTAAGCTGCCCGCGTAAGCTCGCGCGTAAGCGTCCTCGTCTCCAAAGTAGCGCGCCGCACTGGCGGCCCGCGTGCAAGCTGCCGCGGCGAGGTCGCTGTGCCATCCCGCGCGAGGCCCGGTTGTGGCGCGTCGCGCAGGTGTTCCGCTTCGCGAGCTGCAGCAGCCCCTCGCCCCTGGGGCCCGCGCTGGAGCCGGAGGTGCCCTCCGAGGCCGAGGGCGGCCCGGAGCCCGCCGGGGGCGCCGACGTGCCCGACGGCACGGTCACCGTGCGCGAGGTGCGCGCGGCCGTGGCCGGGGCGTGGGCCCTGCCGGACCCGTCGGCGCTCGCGCTCGTGGCCCTGACGGGTGCGCAGGCCGCGGCCCAGCTGCCCGAGGATCGGCCGGGTGGCAATGGACCTACACGGGGGGCAGAGGAACGGACCCTGCAGGGGCCCTTGAAAGGCTCCTCTGTGGCCCCTGCTTGCTCCAAAAGGGGCCCTCATGCATGGCCCCCCCAGATTTGGGTCACCCCCCAGCACCACCCGCCCGAGAGGACGTGCAGACGCTGCAGATGTGCGGCGTGGTGCCCGGTGACATCCTGATCGCGGAGGTGAAGGCCTCGGACGAGGCCATAGGACGAGGATAGAAAGCCGTTCCATAGCGATCCGGAGCGCTCTGAGAGCGTGCTGGAGCGCTCTGAGAAGGCCGCGGCGCCCGAGATCTCTTCCAGAGCCGCCGGACCTCAGAGGTCCTCGATTTGTCCTCACCCGCTTCGAGCCTCGTCCTGGCCTCGTCTTAAGGCCTCTGGACCCTGTGGCTCCCCCGGGGCTGCCCTGGGCTCTGTGGCTCTGTACGACCAGGTCGCGTCCGGCACCCACGTCGAGGAGGTCTGGGAGCTACAGCGCCGGTACACCGTGCTGAGCGCGAGCTGGCGCGCGCCCTTCATGCCCCACGACGGCCCCGCGAAGCTGCGGTGGGTCTGCCGAGAGGGCTACGGCCAGCACCCCTGGATGGCGGACTCCAAGGATTTAGGCCTCCTGTCGGGATGGGGTCGTAGTAGACGGGGTCGGAGGATCATGCCGCATCGCCGATGCATCGCCGATGCGACTCGATGCCGAGCCCGATGTGCTTCACCTCGACGTCGCCGATGCATCGCCGACGTCGCCAGAGCATCGCCGATGCATCGCCGATGCATCGCCGATGCATCGCCGATGTCTCGCCAGTGTATCGGCAATGCGGCGCGATCCTTCGACCCCATCTGCTCGGACCCCATCTAGGAGGCCTCTAAAGGAGCAGCCCGCGGCGCAGCCCACGCCCCCGCTGGTGCCCCCAGAGGGCTACTTTGGCTGCGGCTGGGCCGTCGTGGAGCCCCCCGGCGACTGCGACAGGGACGGCTGGCAGTACGCGTTCGACTTCTACGAGGAGGACGACGCGTGGCGTGCGGAGGCGGGCCTGTACCTGTGCCGGCGCAGGCTGTGGCGGTGCACCTTCGTGCGATGACGTGAGTGGCGCGCACCGGTGACGGAGGCGTCGTTCAAGCAGTGGCGATGCGCCTTGGCGTGCCTATAGGCCTAGCAAACAATGTTCTGAGAACCTTTTGTGGCTTCCACGAACTGTTCTTAGAACGTGTCTGGCCGAGACTGTCTTGAGTTAACGCATCGGGTTTATGGTTTAAGAGCAGTGGTTTTGTTCTTGGAACATTCCTGGCTTCTTGGACAGACCTCCTGCCCTGACACGTCGATCAAGGAATTGGCCGTTCTCGGTTCGCTCCAGGGCGTCGCGGCCGTCCCTGTTGCGGGTCCAGGTCCGTCGGTTTCGGCCCCAGGTCGTTTTCGCTAAGGGGAGGTTTGCCAAAGGGAGGTTTGTCCACCGCCGAACCTGGACGGGAGGGGGGGGGAGCCTTCAGGGAGCCCTTCGGGGCCCCTGCCGGCTCCCAAATGGGTTGGAACATCCCCACTGACCCTGACCTTCCAGAGCGCTAAAAACCAGCACTCCAGACCTGTAGACCTGCCTGGCTTGCCTAACACCTCGACTGGAATTGGGGTATGTAGGTGCAGGTGTTTTTTTCGTATCCCTCCTGGAAGGTCAGGGTAGGCCACCCCCCATTACCAACCGCCCGAATGGCGCACGGCATTTTCCCGCGCCCGTGCTCAAAAATGGTAATACCATCAGAGGGCCCCAGCAGCGGTCTCCGGAGGCCCTCTACGAGGCCGCCAGTGGCCTGCGGGGGCCAGGGCGGACAGGAGCGCCGAGAGGTGACAATCCTCGAGCCGCAAGGGTGGAAGAGGAAGGAGGAGGAAGGAGGGGGAAGGCGGGAGGGGGAAGAGGAAGGGGGACGGACGAGGAAGGAGGAAAGAGGAAACCGGAGGTGGAGGGGTGAAGGGTTCACACATGAAGGGTTTCTCAAGTTAGCCGCCCAGGTGGCAGATGTGGAAGGGGGAGGCGGAGAGGGGAGCAGGCGGAGGAGGAGAAGGCTCGCGCGCGTCCAGGCCGCTTCCTCGCGAGTCTGCCCAGCTCGTGCTGGTTAGCCGGCGTGGAGACGGGTGGGGCAGGGAGTGGCGACGGGGGTGGCTCCCATGCAGTCGCTGGGGGGGGCGTTTTGGGATCGCCGCTCGAACGCAGCCCTGTCCTCTTCGGAACTCGGAAATGTGGGCGTTGCTACCAAGGTGGCGCCGCCCTCCCCGCACCCTGGCGGCCCTCGCCGCTGGGGATGGCGAAGAAGAAACCACATATTTAGCCATCGAGTTCGGCAACATGTCGCCGCATTTTGCTGGTCTGCCTCCCCCTATGGGTACGCACCGCTCACCGAGGTGTCTCGGCAGAGGGTGCCGACCTTGGGGAGGATCTGTCGCCTAGCTTTGCTCAGCCTTTGGGGGCGCGCACTGCTCGCCGAAGTCTCTCGGCAGAGGGCGCCAACTGTGGGGGAGTTGGTCATCAAAGTTTTAGCTGGCATGTGATACGTGCGGGGACTGGTGCTTCGACAATGGCGAGGCGATCGCCAACGCAGTTCTGCTTGCTAGACTCGCCACATTTCCGGCGTTGCGGGGCTGCGGGCCTCGTCCAGCGGCGCTTTGCACCAGTCTAGAGGTTGGTAGCACCCTGCTCAATTGCTGCGGGATTCGCATGTGCTGGCGTTGTTCCCTCGTCGCATGCGGCGCCGGATGTGGAGTCGAATCTCCAGGTCAGGTTCCGGAGCAGCCAGGTGACCCGCAGGGACGGCCACCTTCGCCGCGCTCACACGGGCAGGATGTGCGTCCCGCTGCAGGTCGTGGCGTCAGGACTCCCAAGGTCACGGGTAAAAACCAGAAGGGACAAGCGTGATATTTCTTCTCCTGCAACGCTTCCACCTGAAGTTCCTGGGACACGGGTCCGGGGTGGAGGCTCGAGGACACCTGGGGACCGAGCCCGCAATTTTGGTCAGGGTGGGAGACGCGATCTTTGGAGAGTTTCCAGTTATCGCACCACGAATGCCCACAGGATCAGGGGAATCAACATGTTTTTCTGCCCCGCAGTGGATACGGGTGATGCCGCCCCGACTTCGTCTGCCAGCGTGCTAGCTGGAGGCTTGGCGCGCATCAGTCAGAGCATTGTGCACGTCAGTGAGCTAGACCATTTACCTGAAGCCCGAAGTATAAGTCCGACGAGGCACGTCCACAGGGTCCACTGACGGGCCTGTCCGGATTTCAACGCATTCCACCACTCCCAGGGCACCGAGGGAGGCCATCTACCTTGAATGGCTGGGCCAGGGACACTTCTCAACCCTAACAACGATGGGCTTGCAGCCCGGTGCTCCCAGCTGGGGACGACGGTTATTGCCGCAGAGGAAGCCACGTGCGTTGCAGGCTCGTGTCACGCGTTGGATTTATTAATATTATATGTTGTGCTGTTTTCGCGCGTGGGCTCGGTCAGAATATGATAGAGATGAAGCTTCGGACGGTCAATCTCGACCTCCTTGTTCAAGCGAGATAGACAGGCAAAGCGTTTCCCATTTTCTGCCCACGGGATGCAGCAGCGATCCCCAATCTTACGTTTGGAATTGGGATGTCGGGGACACAGGTGGCCCAGGGCCCGTGGCAGTTCGGGACCATTGGACCGACTACACTGAACGAGGGTTGCCTGAGGTATTCGACATCAAAGGTCTGGACGGATCAGGAAGGATAAGGCTTCCATTGGCAGTAATCCGAGTTAAGTGGCATGCGAACACTACGCCTCGATTTCTTTCGTGGCGGGCTGTCCTTGCTGCGCCAGTCAGCGCTTAGTTGTGTCAGTAGGCCTGGGCAGGCTTCGATCCGCAGCCGTCCCCTCGCTCTGCTTTGTCGGCGTTTGGCAAGGAGTGCTATTTATGCGCGAGGTTGATGAGTCTGGCGCCAAGCCTTGCGGATGAGATCGGAGTCGTCGGCTGCTCTGGGGGATTGGAGTTGGGGCTCTTGCGACCGATGGTGAAAAGCACGCATGACAATGTGCCCAGAGATCACAGCGCCAGGCAATGGGCAACACCAAAGTCTCGGGCCCAGGAGTTCGCATCGACAGGGGGCAAGGTGTCGCGCTTCTTCCAAGGGCAAGAACCCCGCATTCGGGCCGGCGGCGCAGGGGGGGGCGGGCCCCGGCATCGCTCTCGGGCCGTCTCTGCGCTCAGTGATGCACGAGGCAGCAATCGGGCGCAGCATGCGAAGCAGTTGTCTGGCCAGCTCCATGCACTTTCAGACGCTGCCCCACAACTTGCTCAGACCACTCGCACGGTGATTTTTTGGAAAAAATACAGCATGAGGCGGGTTTTGAAGTGGACTGTGTGAACCTGGAGAGCGCACCGATGGGCGGGTACACTCGGCGATGCCAGGGGGGGGGGGGGGGGGCAGAGCTCACGGCCAAGTGCGCTGCGTTGATAGCTATCCAGGGCAAGCCAGAGGTGGCAGGACTACGACACTTGGCGGGGCCAACTGTCGGCGCGGTGCACTGCCGGGCTCGCGCAAGACAGGTTATTGCGCGAACATGGAACAATGGCGCCTGGCTCGATTTTGCCGTGGAGCCCGAGACCGCGAATATGGCGGACTGGGTTTGTAGCGCGCGTTGTTCGACGAACTTGCAAGCGCTGGGAAGTATGAGACGGCTGCCCCGTTTCCAGGCCTGGGCAAACTCCGCGGGCGGGTGGCTGTATTGACCTTTATTCACCGGGGTAAAAACTACCAGGGCCCATGCGGGGCTCGCCAGGGCGGCGCGCCTGCTGCGCGCGGGGGGGGGGGGGATCTGACCCCGAAGAAGCGGCGTCGGACGAGATGAAAGCCGCGGGCGCGTTCTTGGCAGGTTGTCTCTCGACGTGCGTTTTTTTTTCTCGGAGGTGGTGCTGCATTGGTTTCTGCAGTTGATCGCGGCGTCGCGTTCCGCTCTCGCGGTTAGGAATGCGATGGGTGACGCTTTCTACTCAGACACCTGACTCCGCGCTTGTGGTTGCAGACCATCCAGGTAATGCAGGCGCACGTTGCGCGATTGGGCTTGCTCATATCCATTTGATCATGCCGGGGAGGAAGACTATGTTCGTGGCGTCGCGCAAGGAGCTCCAACTCTTCCTGAACGGCAGTCGGTGCCGGCTTGGTTTCGCTGCTAAGCGGCACGCATGGCTTCTTGGGGAGCGACGTCGCGGCCCCAGGAGCTCGCTGGAACCAGGGGCCCCGCGGCTAGGGCGCGTCTCAGGGGGGCGGCTAGGATGCCCGGGGGGGTCCTGAAGCTGCAATGCGCTGGGGCCCCAGTGGGGCCCACGTGCAGGCCGGGGCATCTGGCGCGCGGGCCCCGAGGCCCCGCTGTCGCGGGGCTCGCGGCCAGGCGGGCCCGCGCGATCAGATCGGCCACGGCGCGAGCTTTGGGCAGGATATGCGTTGGGCGATGCCTTCGTTCACGTTGCGCTCGCCCTCTGTGGGGGGATCGCGCGGGCCCTTGTGCTTGCCGCCGCGCCAGCGATGTTTTGCCGCGGTGTAGGGCTGTCTTGGGTGTTCTTGTGTTGTTTTCTGTTTAGCATGGAAACCCCTTGGGTCGATGGTCCGCAGTCTGCGTTCGAGTGGGCAGTTGCTGACGCGCGGCAGAAGGCGCCGCTGGCATTTCGCGACCTCGCCCGAGCGCGCGCCCTCCGCGTCGCTCGAGCCGAATAAATTGGAGACTGGGGCCGGCGCCGATCGCGGTCAGCGGACATGCGAGGCGCGTCGCAGGGCGCCGGGCGGGCGAGATAGCGCTGCTGCTGAAACCTAGATGCAACAGGTCCGGTTGCAGGCTGCCCAGAAGTTCATGAACCTGAGTAGTTCCCACGTCTGGGCAAAACGTGGCCAGGCGAGTGTCGGGCGCGCGTTTGCGTTCGGCACTTGCGCCCGGGTTGGAATTGAGGAACGCCGCCTTGCGGAAGGCGAGGTCTGCCAGCTGCGCAAGGCCGAGCGAGGCTTTTTGTTCTGCGGTGGGTCCATCTGCGAGGCCTTCGAAGGCGATCGAAGGCGCCGCCTGCCGAGGGAACGCAAGTG